GGATTATTATCCAGGTAAAAATCTATAAACATGTATACCATTAAATCTACCCAGATTTTATAAACATACTTTTATAATATTAGTTTAAATTATGGTAATTATAAACATAATAAAAATAAATATTTGCAAACAATTATCTAATGATAAACACAATTACAAAAACAGTATATAAGTTAGAGAGAAGTGACGATCGGTTCCGACAAATGGACACGTTTTCAATAAACGCAGAAAAGGCCAACACTTTAGTCGACCAGTTTTTGGTCAATTTTAAGGACATGTTTGGCCCGCAAATAGACCCGACGACTATCGCACAGTTTGGACAGTTTAAGCTCAGAAATATGGGTTTGTATATTATTGTTAACCACAATCCATTTATTAAGTTCATTATACTTTATACAATAAATTGGTTAATTATTTAATTCTCACGTCCGAGAGCTCTAACTATGATTGTAAGCTAGAGCTAAAGTTGAATAGTTATTATAACATCAAGGTGACCAAAATAATAATAATAAAAAAATATAAAGTACAACAAAATATAATCATATTAACAAATAAGAAATTTGTAGGTCTCAACAAATGTCCAATATAAGATTAATGTACATCGACTTATAAGATGGCAACAAATGTTTGTATTTAAACATTACAGTCTATAATACTATATATTTATATCATTAAATATAACTTCTACTGTATATTTGCAAGTGTTATTAAAGAACCAAGGTGAATAAATCAATTAAACTTTTAAAAACAATAGCACACTAAATGTTTGTAGTGTACTTACTGTAGATGGTAGCCTAATAAAAATATGTATTTTTGAAATACATTATATGCGGCAAATCGGATCATTTATGTGATTCTCAATGAGAGATATTACTATTATATTAAGCTAGAGCTAAATTTAAATTGTTAGTTAACACCAAGGTGGCCGATAAAAATAATAAAATACAATGTAAAACATAATGGAACAATATTAACCCACATGAAAATAGTTTGTGAAATTTTTACGGTAAGAATATTCTGGAGCTTATCTAATCCAGTAGAAAATCTATATACATCGATTTATAAGATGGCAACAAATGTTTATATTTAAACATTACAGTCTATAACACTTTATAATTAGTACAATATTTATATCGATGTGTTATGTGCAAGTGTTATTAAAACGCCAAGGGGAATAAATCAATTAAACTTTATCAAATACTAAAAGTTTGTAAAACCGTTTCATGGCTAAAATAATTGTGTACATACTGTAGATGATAGCCAAATGTGTACAATATATTTTTAAACATTAAGTTTATTACCGTTTATAATTTATACAAAATTATACAAACATTTAAAATATAACTTATAGGTAACGCCAGAATATACGACCTGACACTACAGGGTGTGTCAAACATCCAGCGCGTGGGTCAGATCGAAGTGCACGCCAATGGGCAGATGAAATTATGGTCAATTAGTGCCAACCTGTCCATAGCCAACATCACAGCCTCGTTCAAAGTGGACGCACTCGTACGCAAAGGGCTATACATTACCGGTTGGACACTACAGGCGCTGATAGACCGGTGCTTAATGAGGGTTAAGCTAGACTATGATCAGACGAGTAAAATGATGACAATACACGAGTTGATTGCGGACAGTATAGTAGGTTTTACGCTGAATACCGATAATTTATCATGGCCATTTTCCGATGTGGTGGCCCAAATTGTTGACCGCCAAATGGATCAGCTTAAGCGAGTGATCAGTTTGAGTGCCCAGAAATATTTCACCGAGACGTTAAAGTCGTTTAATGTGTCGGCCCTTATCGAGCGAATGCCCGATAAGAAAATGTTTTAATTTAATTATGGTTAATTAATTTTATTATATCATTATGAACAAGATTATTTTGACATTAGCATCATTTTTTAAAAATTATTGTTACAGTACTTTTAAATGCAGTATTTTTTTGAAATAGTAATATTATAATAATGTAATTTTTAAAAAATATTATGGTAATTCATTCATTAAATTTGTAACCACAATTCAGCTATGAATAATGTGGTTTATTGGATTGTTCTATAAAATAATTGATTTAATTAATGTCGTTTATAATGAAGTAAGATATTGACAAAACTCATGGAACATTAAAAAATAAAAATTACAATGTAATAATAAAATTCTAGCCGAGAGATCATTTGGTCCCAATATATAAGGCTGTTTAGAAGTGATGTATAGTTGTTTAAAAGTTCGAGATTAAATATTACAGTTGTTAAATACAAATGTAAATTATGTATTTATTAATATTAAAAATAATGTTTAAAATACAGTTTACGCTTTAAATATATTGTTTATATGTTTATAAATACATGTTTAATACATTATTTTATGTTTTACATTATTGTGTTTTATTTAATATTACTAATCGATTTAATTAATGCTGATATTTAATTGCAGTCATTTATTAATTATAATCAAGTAAAAATTTAGAAACTAACGATAATTTTTAATGTATCTGTGTCTTTGGGTTTCGTGTAATTTTTTTTAAAGATATAAATTGTTAGCAAGTGTTCAAATTAGTGTTTGAATTAAATGTAATTTATATTCACTCGAATCGTGTGATTTAATGGTGTTTTTCTATTAACTAATCAATAATTGGACAAAATTAAACAATTTAATTAAAATTTTTTAAATTTAAATTAATGCAAAGATTACTCTATTGTAACTTTTCATAGAAGTGATATTATTCAAGCCTTTGACAAGTATTTGAATATTATTACTTCAGTCAGTAATTAGGGACTCAAATGAGAGGTCCAACACTTGTAATGTTGTAAGACTTTTAATTGTATAACTAATTAATACTTACATTCAATTAAACCATTTTATATATTTTTAATTGAAATGAATTTATTGTCTGTTTGTGGAAGAGTTGACAGAAATGTGAATAAGAGTTATAATCATAACTTCAGTTTTTCGACGTAAAGGGAGTTTAGACGTAAAGGTTTTTAGCCTTAGATTCGCCCCCAACTCAGGGATACCTAAACACTCAAAACGAAACAATAGTTTCGACGATTAGACAGAGACTCGACTGCAAGACATTGATTGCCAACTATAGGACCACTCAATACCCCTCATTACCTCTCATTACACGCAAACTACAACTCAAATGCAATCATTTTATGTTTAAAATTGTCATTTAAAATAAGAAGTGTTTGTGTCGTGAATATCAATTTCATGGTCTGTTTGGTCACACATTCATATCTGAATCGGTCTTCGAGTAAGAGATAAGACAATAAGTGTTGACACAAATCGAGTGCCGGTCTGTCAGCAAATTGAGGGAAACGTGTATTCCGTCGATAGAGATGTGCGGCGTTTGCATCGATAAGAGAGACTATTGAGCGATGGAATGGCTGGCGAAAAGTCATTCCCCGAACCCCTTTGAGACCAGAGGTACGCCGTGACGGCCCCACAAAGACCTGGACTCACGCCGTGAAGGCTAAGTATTGTTGGCCGGTATCGGTTCCCGCGGCTACACCTATCGCTCTAACACGCGATACCCATTCATACCTGTGCCCACACAATACTATATATCTTACCCGAGTATCGGCTTTAATTGTTGGGTATTTAGCGAACACTAGTATAAACTATTTAATACAATATCAAAATAATAAACATTTACTTCAATGATTATACGCTCTATTGATTGCAATCATATGTTTACTTATATAAACTACCTTCACATGCATTACCTATGGATACATGTACTAAAAGTACATACCTATTATTATTATTACACAGGTATTGCAACATAACGTGTAGTTAACGTTATATACTTCGTATGAAATACGTAAGGTAAAATATAAAAGTATATATTATTATTCACATGCATTACATATTAATGTATGAAATATAATGTTAAATAAATGCCAGTATAAATACAACAATCAGTTTTTCATAGCAGGTATATTCACAGTCTATTAACCTAGCTGTGAATATAATTGTTATGTTAATTAATAAATATTTATAATTTTGTGTCTAGATCTAAAATATCACAAATTAATATATAACTTCTGAATACTATTTTTATAGTTATAAATAATTATAAACTTATAATTTTGAAAAAAATAAATTAAAACTTTTATAAATCATGTCGGTCTATGAAGGACACAGTGATTCAAGTGCAGGCAGCTGTTCCGGCTCGTTCAATGACCATGATACAATCGGTGATAGTGCGGCTATAATGGGCATGTTATTTGATTGTATGGGCGCTATTGACTCGGGCTGTTTCGGCACCGTATATAAAGCTAAACATAAGCTAGATGGTCAACTTTACGCTATTAAATGCGTTCAGCTGCCAGGTAAATAACCTTGATTACATTGAACATAATATCTTACAAAATATAAACACTGCTTTTAAAAAAGTTTAAATTATATAAACATTAAATAAACTCTAGCTAAAGTAAATCTAAAATTAAAATCATAGTCAGAATATATTAATAATTAATTAAATTTGTTACACAAGTTAAAATATTAAAATTTAAATTCACACGTATTAATATAAATTTACACGTATTAATACATTTGCAACAGAGGACTACAACTACGATGATCTAGGTGAAATCCGTTCGCTAATCACAGCTCGGTCACCCTACGTGGTTCGTTACTACAACTCGTGGCTTACGGGCCACCGGCTATACATACAGATGGAGTTGTGCTCCGGGAGTCTACGGACCGTACTTAACAACCGGTGCGACATATTTCGCCGCTGGGCTAACAGCCAACTAAAACCCATGAAAACCATCGAGTACTTTATCACGTGCAACATATACAGGGAACTACTCGAGTGCGTACAACACCTGCACCAATTGAAACCAGCCCTAAACCATCGCGATCTGAAACCGGAAAACATACTGATCGCCCGTAAGCCCCGTAACGGCCGCTTCGTTGTGTTGGGCGACTTTGGCCTGTCGTCCACTCTGGATAAACACGTCGATTATGATAGTTTTAGCCGTAATAGGTTTGGCGCTAAGCATGGTGCAACGCCTGATCATGGTGAAAATTGTGGTGTTTACAGAGATTGTGTCGACGTAATGGCCCTTGGTCGCATTGGCCACGAGATGTTTGAGTTTGCCGATGATCGCGCTCATTCGTAAGTATAATTATAAATTAGCTAGTTCAAAATAATTTATATAAGTTACCTAGTTAGTGTTGTTAAAAATTGTATGTGTATTTATTTTTACAATGATCGTGTTTATTTATTTTAAATATAGACATAAAGCCCAGACACCGCACGATGTGATAGTCAAAATTAAAATGACCAAACTGAAATCTCAAATCACCATGATGATCTCGCCAAACATTAAGGACAGGCCTGAATGTAGGCAAGTGTTGGCCCGGTATGGCGATTGGGCGGTGGAAAGGAACGTGGTTAGAAGGTACCGGGAAGAGTTTAAGCTGGATTTTGATCTGACCCTGGCCAGAATGAGAAAATATGAGCATAGTAAATTTTTTTACGAATATTTTAAGGTAAAATTTCATCAAAACAAATGCTTTTGCTGTCATAAATAGTAGTAATTTATTTATTAGTTATGATTACATTTTGTATATAATATTTTTACTTAAATTTAATATATTTTTACTGATTAAAAATAAAATTACAAATTTTTAAAAGAATGTAAAAATGTTTTTTATTTACAGAATGTATAGTTAAATAACTAATAACTAAAGTTAAATATGCATAGTTTATACTGTAATTACATATTGACTATTAATGTACAGTATATCTATTTTTACATGCACATTAAACATTTATTAATTTTACATTTAAACAACATTTATTAATTATATTTAAAAACATTTATTTAGTATTGTAAATTAATTACATTTACATTTCAAATGCTGATTTACGGAGTTAAAATAATTTCTATAAATATTAACTTTAAAAAAACTATAATAAAATATTGTTGAATACAATGAGAGTATATAAACTTTTATCGATAATTGCTTTATAAGTATTTCCTAATTATTCAAAACTTTCCCTCTCTTTGGGAATTTCAATCAATAAAACATTGATTTGCAAATTATCAAAGAGTTTCGTCACAATATAGAAACCACTATGGTCAAGAATTAAATCAGGAAATATTTTTGCTACATAGTAGTTGCTTTCATTAATAATTCATCTATATAATTTGTGAGTAAATATAACTTTTATCGCTACGAAATTCATTATAGTGATTTTTATATGTATATTATTAATACGGTATAATCAATCTGTTAATAGTAATAATAATAGACTTTTAATTATCTGGTTTGAAATAACATTAAATAAAATAAAATATAATTTGCATTTTTATATTTGCTATTTAAATAAATAAATTATTACAATTATTACAAATCAGTATATAATTTTGATAATTACGTAAAAATTAAATACATTATAATTTATACAATTTATAATTATTTATTTTATACTAACATATTGTCATATATTAGTATTTTAAGGACAATTTATAATAAATACACATAGTATATTATATCATATCATTCTTAATTATACAAAATTATTAATATGGTTGATTTAAACGCAATTAATCTATGTTATTAACTTACACAAAAATTTTAACCATTATAATTTGTTTATCAGTCAATAGATGGAGAATTTGTCGATATATTCAGTGAATTCTATGATAAATGTTATAATGAATAACATTTAATGCTATTCATACAGTCTAATAGAACTAACATGATGTTTTTGAATATTTATTTTAGCACCAAGCAAATATTATGGTAAATAAAAACAAAAACTAACTGTTCATTCACTGGATTATATGCTTAGTTAACAAAACAAGTGCAGTATGGCATAAATTCACAAATTATCAGTATATATTTGATGTAATTTATCATTATTTTTGTGTGTAATATGAGAGAGAGAGAGAGAGAGAGAGAGAGACCAAATGATATTTGTTAATAATAGCTCCTATCCTATCCTTAATCCGTTATTATATACGATTCATATGTAGCTAATTCTGTGTTAAATGTATTTAAGCTTAATGGTTTTATTTTTATCGATCTGGTTTTAAGTTAAGGTTAAAAGAAAGTAATTGTTTTGGTTATAAAAAATATATAATGTTATATATTTATTATATATTAAATAACACGTATAATTTATGCTGGTAAACATTTTGTTTACAAATAATATATTAAATAACAAATATTTACAAAAACATAAATCTATAATAATGTAAAGTAATAAATAATAATCTGTTTATTTTGTATGTATTGTGTATATCATTGATTAATAACGTTATGTAACATAAAAAA